GATGCACCGGGCAGGGACATGAAAGGAGCTATGAAAATCCACAAACATGAATCTGGTTCCAGCCTCAGGTGGCTTTCAAGCCAGAATATGCTGAAATCATGTGCTGCCCAACTCATCTTGGCAAATTAATAAAATGTTGGCTTAATCTATCACACAAAGATGGCATTTACAACCTCGGCACGGCATGTTCTGCATTCCTGGGCTCGGCTGCAATTAGATTCTGGTAATTACTGTTATGTCTGAAAGGCTCAGATTGTAACTAAGCTAAGATGGAAATGAAATACCCCTTCTTGGAACAGTTTCATTTTTCAGTGCTTGGGTAATTACCAGCATCGTGCTGCGTCTGGGAAGCGGGTGCCTTTGTGTCAGCAGACGCAGAATGACATTCTTTGGGGATGGGCTCTTCACGAGACAGAGTATCTAATCAAGCTGCAGCTTCTCAACAGGTGAATTGGTTTAATAAATGATAAAATTAATTTGATTTCTTCTGCTGAAAGGAGGTGTGATCATCCAGAAAGAGCTAGGCATGCGTGACTCCCAGCAAGGGTGATCACCACGTCATGCATTCCGGTGGATGTGAAATTCCATTTGCTGTTTCGTTCTTGCACAGGCAGACAAAGCTCGAAAGTTCAGAGCTGGAAGAGGGTCCTACCCGCCAAAGCTCAGGGTTCAGGAAGATATATAATATAGACAGAGCCCAAAGACTCAGCTAGGGGCCTGAGCCCCCGTCTCTGCTGCTGGTCACGTGACTTTGGACCAGTCCCACATCTCCCCTTCCTTTGGGCTTCTCTGCAGTAAAATGAAAATAACAAAAGTTGCCCTGGCTACGACCCACCTCATAGGGCTGCTGTGATGAGCAAATGAGGGGACAGACCTAGAAGAGCCCAGCCAACTGTAAGGCATTATTTAAACACTGGGTATCACAGGCTGTTGTATTTCCCTCGGGGACTGTCATCAAGGGAGCTACGTGACTAGAAAATCAGCCTTTGGAATTTCCTCAGTTCACTGCCCTCCCAGCCACTGGAAGTGGATGGTGCGGCCCTGGGGAGGCTGTGCAAACTGGACGGGACTCCTGGCCAGGCTTCAGTGGAGCCACTGAACTGGAGTTTGACGGTTGCCCAGCCAAGGCTCTGCAGCTTGCCTGTCCTGGCGGCCTCTGAAGATCAGCCACTCTGGCCAATGGAAGAAGGAAAGTTCTGAGGGTCTGATGTGCCCCCAAAGAGCCCTGCGTTAGGAGCCAAGAGACCTGGTTCTACCCTTAGTTCTGCTACTTACTGTGCCATCTTGTTTGAGTTACTTCTCTGCAAAAGGAAGGTATCAGTTTAAACGACCTCTAAGGCCCCTGTCAGGTCAATCAAGCTCCTGGTTTCCTGTGCCTCTGCTTCCTCAGCTGTAAAACAGTGCTCTTTCTCAAAGGGCTGCTGCCAAGATTGAGCGGGTACATGTAAACCACTGAGGAGCACTTATGGCAAAGAGTGAGCATTCAATAAACATCAGCTATTGCATCCTGAGTATAAAAATAAAGGTTGCACAATAATGCAAGTATTCATAACAATACTGAACACTTAAAAACGGCTAGGATGGTAGACTTTATGTTATGTACATTTTACTACAAATTTTTTGAACATTCAAAAAAGTAAATAAAGGGTCTCCTTCAACATGAGGGTCCGTGAGGATGTTTCTGAAGGTACCTGCAATGACCTCACAAGCCAAGAGTCCGTGGGGGCCAGGGCTCCTGCCCGCTCCTCACGGCTTCTGCCACGTACCTTGGCTCTCTGGGGCAGGTTCATCATGGTGTCCGGCTTGAAGTCGTTCTTGTTCTTCCGGCAGAGCACGGCAGTGATGATGATGATTATGACTGTGACCACGGCGATGGGCGCCAGCACCGCGGCGATGATCCACAGGTTGTTGGGCGGGTTCTTCACCACGGCTGCGGGAAAGAGCCAGCAGAAAGCATGTGACAAAGAGCACGAGGACGGGGAAAGCAACTCAGAGAAAAATGGCTCCCAGTCCCAAGTCGTGAGATGGTTAAGAGGGTTTGGGCTCAGAGAGGCTCTCGCTTTGGACAAGTTACTCAAGGTCTCTGAGTCTCAGGGTCCTTATCTGTAAAATGGGGCTATCATGTTGTGAGGCATCAGAGAGACAAGGTACCTGTGATGCTTTGGTGCAACCCCTTTGGTGCAATCAATAAATACATAAATACAAGCCTTCACTATGATTAAGAGGAGGAAGAGGACTGGTACCGATTTTCCCCACTGGTGATGTCCATGAGTCAAAGAGAAGAAGGAAGAAGAACTCTGAGGATGAGGGTAGTGCCGCAGTCAGGAGGCAAGGGCCACAGAGAAATGACTCTGAATATTGTAGTGAAGTCACCCTCTGAGTGAGCAATGAATGAAACATACGTGAATGGTTGGATCTGCCCCAGCCCCCAGTGGCTGGCTGGGGAGGCTTGGAAATGCCTTGGTCTAATCAAAATGATCAGGCTGTTCTCAAAGCCAGAGTGAAAAAGAGTAACCAAAGCGACTGTCAGTAGGAGAATGTGTTGTTAGAACAGTAGGTGCCTCTAGGAGGGATGGGGCTGGAATTAATGACTTGCAAAAGGCAGTAGAATGATGGGCATGTTCCATATCATAACAGGGGTTGGGGTTTCACAGGTGTATACATTTGTCAAAACCCATCAAATGGTATAGTTAAGAGCTTAAGTGATCTGCCCCTCCAACCATCCTTAGCCCTTATAGCTCTTCCCTTAACTCACTCTGCTCCAGCCTACCACCCTCCCTCTTCCCTAAAGTTGCTGGACATGCTCCTGCCTCAGGACCTTTGCACCAGCTTATTCCTCCACCTAGAATGCTCTTCACCTAGATATCCACGTGGCTCCCTCCCTCATTGCTCCTTCAGCGCTCTGGACAAGTGTCACCATATCTGTGAGGTCTTCCCTGTACTCTACAAAATAATAATCCCTGCCCCTGGCACTCTCCACCCCCTCCCATCCTACTTTACTATTTTTTCCCCAAAATCAGTGCTTCTCAGACTTCAATGTGCATGTCAGTCATCCAGGAATCTTGTTCAAATGTGGATTCTGATTCTGATTCAGTGGGCTGGGATGGGCCGCCCTGCCCTTCTAACAGGCTCCCAGGCAATGCTCATGCAGCAGACCCCAGGCCATGCTTGGAGTGGTGAAGCTCTAATGCATGTATCACCACCTGCCCTAATACGTATACATCTGCTCAACATCTGTCACCCCCATCTCCTGCTCCTCCATTAGAACGTACACCCTAAGAGAGCAGGGAGGTTTTTTGTCTCTTCCTCACTGCTGAATCACCAGGGCCTAGAATGGGGCCTTGCACATAGTAAGTGCTCAATTAAAAGTTGGATGCCTGTATAATTGAACTACTATTATCCCTGCTACAATTTGACTTCCCATACAGGAGACAGAGTAATGGCCAGTTAAAGGAGAAGTTCGCTTTCCGCAGTTGTTCTAGTCCATATTTTAAATGAAATACTTCCTATCACGTTTATATATCAATCTCTTATAAGTCTGGTTAGCGTAAGTCGGTCCTTCTAATCCTGTTGAATTCTAGAGGCTACTTGACCCAAATAGCTGAGGCTCAGACTCTGGAATACAAAGACCCCACCAGTCAGTTGCCAGATGGTGAGGCTCTGCCTGAGAAGCCAGCTGGTCTTCCTCTGACTTCAATCACCCCCTGACTTCAACTGGCACCTCATTAGCTAAGACCTGCCTCTCCTCAGGCAGCACTTGGCTCTCTGGAGTGCTATTAGTACAAAAGAACTTCTTTTTCACAGTTTTTGTCAATTGGTGATTAATCACATTATTAACTTCTGAACACATTATTAGACAATGTGCTTCTGTTGACATTAAACATTTAATTGCTACTGCTTTTAGTAATTCAGTATTTATATGTGCATTTCAGGCCATTAACATTTTTTAAAGCTCAGTGCTTCTGTGAAAAATATCAGTCTGCCTCTTTTTGGCTATGCTAGTCTATCTTGATGGAGAAAAATGTACAGTGTATCAGAACATGATACCCTAAATATATATATATATTTTTTTCATTAGCAAGAGTGAAATATCTACACGTGTTCTACTCTTACTCAGCTTTATTGTTTTGATGGATATGTGCCTTCTTGGTGCACAGTGGAAAATCCTTTTAGCTCTATTCAAATGAGGAGAGAATAAATTTATCTAATGTACATTAATAAATTCACTTAACGGTCAAAGTGATAGTAAAGTTAGGTCAACTGAAGTCATCCAAACCCAATATATTCATTGGCATAATGATCTAAAACTACAAAGTCATGTACAGAGGTGAAAGGAACAAATGGTTATTGAATTTGCAAGAATGTCAGCAGGAGAAGGACAGGAAAACGGGACAATACGTTCTGAGCTTCCACTGCGCGGCGGGCACTGGGACACGCTCCTTGTCCAGGTGCTGTTCTTGTCCCCAGTTTGCAGATGAGGAAACTGAGCTCCTTAGGGAGGTTAGACTTCTCTATTAAGAAAGTCACTTCTCTGAAATATACAAGTTAAGTCAGTTCTGAGTTAACACACATGAATAGAAGTGTGTAGTGTGAGTGTGCATGTGTGCGTGTGCAGGCACACACACAAAGTATCTGTCAGAGGGAATGAAGTCAAAGGGCGCACATAATCTAAACTCAAAATAACTTATTCTATATGTACGTATATGCATGACTAGGACATTGTGCTGTGCACCAGAAACTGACACATTGTAACTGACTATACTTCAATTAAAAAAATTTTTAAAAAACCCAACTTATTCTCAAGTGGAGCAAAAGTTGAAAGGAGAAGGAATCCATTCAAAAAAGTTCCCAGCTTGTTTTGGGGGCTGACAAAACGTCAAGAGTTCACAACGGGTGTGAGTGGGCTCAGGGCAGGGTCTGGCGCAGAGCCCAGCAGCTGGTGAGTGTTCAGCCCTGTGGCGCCCCTGTCCACACACTCTTGCTGCTCACATCCCCCTTGGCTGCGCCCATGGGGCTCTGGTGGCCGTGGTGCCTCTGCTGCACCTCTGATCTCATCACTGCTGCTCTCCTCCATCAGGGACCTCCCTGCTGGGTCTCACACCTTGTCCCCAGGTATCCTCAGATGGTCACTCAAAGGTTACTTTCCCAGTGATCATCTTCTTGACCACTCCCCCTAAACAATTTGAAGTCGCAGTTATTATCTCCTCAGCGTCTCCCACCCCTTCCCTGTTCAGTTTTTCTGCGTGGCACTACTGGCTGCTAAAATACGACTTCACCATTTTGTTTGGTAGATCTGCCCACTCAGGAAGGTAATCTCCACGAGGGCGGAGGTTCTGTCTACTTCGGTCACTGCTGTACCTCCAGTGCCTAGAACAGGGCCAGTCACGTAGCAGCTGCTCCAAGACTGTTGAAGGAATGAATGAGTATGAATTCCCTTCTCCAGAGGGTCAGTCTGTGGCTTTCTTTAAGTGATATTTTTTGAGATAAATGTCTGATGGCCGTATAAGGCAAACCAGTTCCTGCCCTGGTCTGCCTCTGGGAGGGGAGAATTTCCCCTCCTCCATCAGCGGGATAAGCTCCCTGAGGGGCCTCTCACTCCAGATCCTGCAGATGCAGCAGATGAGAACCTCCAATGGGAATGCAGCCTCTGCTTTAGAAGTCATTGCTCCCCGGAACCCAGAGGTGGTGTGGGTCACACGGTCACCACACACTCCAATGTTGGGTATTACATGTCAGACCTAGAACTAGTGATTTAGAAGACACTGGAACACACAGAAAGCTGCACTCTCCCTTCAGAGGGACAAGGTGTCCATTCAGCACTGTGACTCTCTGTTCAAAGTGCTGACCTCAGATTTACATTTCGGGCTGATTCCAAAATTATTAGAAGGAAATGGGATTGAAGACATCTCTGTTCCTCCTCTTCATTGTTGGTCTTAACTTCCTCCTCCTCTGATCCTGGGATGAAGGCATTTTGCAGAGTCTGTCTGATAGCTACACTCCCTCCCCAGGCTCTCAGATTTTCTCCAGGATTTTAATTCTAACCTGTATAGACAACATTCTCCAAATCTATAGTGTTAACTTTAACCTCTCTCCCGAGATTCAGGGTTGGATTCTGAACAACAAATATCTCATCACCTAAACTCAACATGGTGCAACCTGAATAACCGCCCCCCTTCTAAAAGTGTCTCTCCTCTCTAACCTCCTATTTTCATTGACAGCACCCTATTCTCTGAATTATATGGGCTCTTAACCTTCAAATCATCTTTCCTTCTTCATTCCCTCTCTCCTTGAGTCCTTCTACCTTATAGATAAATTAGACATTCAGTTACCACTTACTATGTGCTTCAGAGATGCCCCAGGAGTATACTAAATAAACCCTTTACATGCAATAATTACCTCATTTAATCCTCCCAGTAGCTCTCCTAGGTCGGTGTTTTTTATATCACCCTTTTACAGAGGAGGAAAATGAAGGTCAGGGAGGGTCACTGATTTGTCTCTTGTCTTATTGCAGAGGCTCTGCTCTCAACTGCTCTGCACAGGTGTCTTCCAACCACGTGCCTCACTCAGGGCCTGGCAGAGGCATTTGGCAAAGGTGGGTTTCACAAGAATAGAGCCAGGCAGTAGCTGGGGCTGGATATTCAAAGAGGAATGAGATGTGATACCTCCTTTTAAAGAGCTCATGAGGGAGAGAGAGAGAGAGAGAGAAAACAGCTCATTTCCCCACTGGGATAAGGGCAAAGGGAGCCCCTAGAACTAAGGGAACTTGAGGGAGGGGTCATGCTTCAGGGGTCAGGGAAGGCTTCAGAGGAACAGGGCATGTGAAGAATGAAGCTTCTTGTAAGGCTGAAGCACCAGGTGTAAAGGAGAGAAGGGTAAGCTGTGTGGCTGGGAAAGTAGCCTGGAGACGAGGTTGTGAAGGGCCCTGAATGTTTACTGAGCACCTGTTACGACAGGCTTGGAAAACTCAATTTAAGAATTTTGTTCTGTGAACAATAGAGAGCCACTATATATTTTTTAGTGGAGTAGATGTAAGATCAGAACCTGTGTGTTTATTATGACTCTAATGACAGTGTGGACGGTACATAAACGGCAAAGAGGCTGAGGATGAGTTATCTGGGAACCACCTGTAAAGTCCAAGAGAAGATAATGACGAAATGGAGAAAAGGAAAGAAGTTGTGAGTTATTATACAAAGGAGCTGAGAGGACCAAGTGGATTTGAAGGAAACAAAGAAGTGAGATTGAAGGACAGCTGCTTTGGAGCCAGGGAGAACAGAGTTTGAATCCTGGCTCTCTGAGTCATAGTCAAACTTCTAAGGTCATCTATACTCCCGTTTCCAAAAGGCTCCATGCACCTTCTAATCTGATGTGATCTCTCTCTGCTGCCCATGCTCTCAAATCTTCCACGGTTCCCCACCAACTCCCATCAGCAAAGTCCCCTGAGCAAAGTCAACCTCTCCTTCTGACACTCCATTCACCTCTTGCTCCAAATAAAGCCAATTCTCCCGTCTCTGCCCAAGTACCACAAAGCCTGGAGTAGAAGTGAGGAGGTCACAGAACTGACTTCAAAGTAGAGGATGGGCTGGGACAGAAGTGATGGAGAGGTGGAGACAATGAAGCAGGTAAAAATCTCCAGAGGACGGTGGGGGTCGGCTTGGGATCCAGAGGTGACTGCAATGAGGAGAGGGCAGCTTCAAAGGATCTGGGATTTTGAAAGAGTAGAAGAAATGGTCTGGACATGGCAGTGAGGACCCAGGAGGAGGGAAGCCCTGCCAACTAAAACTCTTTATTTTATTTGCAAATGATGCAACTGACAAGGGTGTAATTTATATAAACAGCTCATACAACTTAATAACAAAAAAACAAACAATCCAATTCAAAAAAGAGCAGGAGACCCAAACAAGCAATTCTCCAATGAAGATATACAAATGGCCAAGAGGCACATGAAAAAATGTTCATTATCACTAATTATCAGAGAAATGCAAATCAAAACTACAATGAGATATCACCTCACACCAGTCAGGACGGCCATCATTAAAAAGTCCACAATGCTCGTTTGCAATCCCATCCACTCCTCCTTGTTGTTCTGCACTCCAGGCAACTAGAACTCCTTATTTTTCAAGCACCCCTGGTACTTTTCACCTCCCTTCTATTGCTCCTGCTGCTCCCTCTTTCTGGACGGTGCACCCTTCCTCTCCCGCTGAAATTGTAGCATGCAGTACAGTTAAGAACACACTTCTGGAGTCCGACAGATCCAGATTCATATCTTGGCAGCCCAAGGACTGGTTCTGCAATGTTGAGTAAGTCAGTTAACATTTCTGAGCCTAGATTTCCTCATCTGGAATTTGAAGCCGAATAGAGCTGCCCCAGTGAGAGGAGACATTGAGCAAACATATGAAAAGAACAAACACAGCAGCTGCCATGGGGGAGGGGCCTCAAAGAAGCCGCTATTATGGTTCATGCCCTTGCTCTGTTCCAGTTTCCCAGAAGCCCCTCTGCTGAGCCCTGTATCACCCTGCCTCCTCAAAGCATGCCTGCATTCTGCTCCTTCACATCTGCATTAACTCTTTTTCTGCTCCTTAAAGGCAGGGGCCGGGTCTTGCCCACTCCTGCGTGTCCTCCAGCACTGAACACAGTTTACAGTTCACAGTAGGATGCTATAAATCCTTATTGGATCAAATTATCTTTAATTCCCCAACAAATATAATCTCAGCTCTGGTGATGTTTCTAGCTGCTCACAAGACTATACCGAGGAGAGAAAAGCAGTATCGGCATCATCTTAATATCCAAAATATATCCTTTACCCAAAACCTATTGCTTCAAATATCACAGGAAACAGCTGGCTGATTTAAAAACCTTCTAGAAGAGAAATATGTTTCTCTCTGGGTCCATTAACATGAGTTTGAGGAATCACTTTGATTTGCAGGAAACATGTAAAGGAGTTAAAAATAACGAATGGAAAGACCATCCCCTTACGGTCAGCTTGCAGAAGGACAACATGATGCAGGGTCAAGGCCATCCTTTGGGAGTCAATGGTGCTCAGGATCTTGGCAGCTGCGGTCCCCAGCAAAGGCTTCCCGTTGTACAGGGTGTAGTAAGTCAGCTCCGCGGGGTCCTTGGGTCCCGGCACCCGCTGCATCTTAACCATCTTTCAGAAAAAGACAGGCCATGTTTACAGGGCATCTTGCATCAACCCTGCAATCACCCAGGCAATCAGCACGCTCTCTCCCAACTCTGAAGCCTTCTGTGGCTAAGCGGACCCATAACGCGTATTTCAGACATCAATCTTTGCCTAACCTCCTATCACCAACATCTCAAGGAGCCCTGCTATGGCTGGAGGGGGAGGCGGGGAGGAGAAATAGGTTTTGAAAATATGAACATCTGGAAAGAACAGTTTGAGACTGGAGAAGGAAACGCTGAAATGGTGATGTCTTCCAGCCTCCAGAGAACTCTGGCCTCATTTGAAAATAGGCCTCCACATTAATTCAGGGCATGTTAGGTTATTCTCAAACAAGATTTCTAATTTCAAATTCCTGCAATTGCCGGAGAGGAAAAAAAAGAACTTATATGTCTGCAATTCAAAAGATCTCTGATAAAAGCAGTACTTGGAGACTCAAAGTTCTTTTTTTTAAATAACCTTTGTTGCTTTTTCTCACTATGCAAGAAAGTCTGAAAATAAAGAAAAGCATCAAGAAATGAATAAAATAAAAACAAGCTGTAATCCCTCCACCACAAGCTAATTATTATTATTATTTTGGAGTATTTGCTCCTGCTCTTTTTTTCTATACAAGCTCTTTATTTATTATTTTAAAAAATTGTTTATCACACTCTCTACATAGTATCATATATTGCTGCTTTTATTTGCATCCATAACTGAGCTTAAATATAACTAAGTATAAATGCTAACTTCTACACAGCATTTCAAGACATGCCTCATGAGCTTAGCCAGCCAATTCTTACTGTTAAACACTTAAGTTGGTACTCATTTTTTAGGACTGTAACTAACAATTGATAATCATTGTAAATACATAAAACATAAATTTTAACACCAGCATAATGTTCTACTGTATGTATGCGTCATAAACTTAACTAATCCTTCATTTTTTAACATTTAGGTTATTAATTTTTCACTAGTCTAATTAACCACTGATAAACATTATAGTAGAGTATAGTATTTTCCAAAGTGTATATTACAGCACATTATGAGTTTCATAGGCTGTTAAAAGCTGTTACAAAAATGTTTACAGCAGCATTGCTCGTAATAGCAAAAAACAACAACAACAAAACCCTGAAAATTCAAAAGTTACTAACAGTAGGATGAATAAACGAGTTATGATAGAGTCACATAATGAAATATTTTTATGAAACATAGAGTATATAAATGAACAATGGCTATTTGTATCAATATGGGTGAATACAAAAGCCTGACATGGAGCAGAAGAAACAAATGACAGAATATGAAATTTAAAAACAGGCAAAAGCAAATGATAAGCAGCTTAAAGATACACATGGGGATGGTAAAATCTATACTGAAAACGTAGGCATGATTTAATACAAAATTCAGAAGCACACTCAAGTCTGATGGAAAGGAAGAGATTATGCGTTAGTCAGAAAAGACACAGAAAAGGCGCCTGGGCTGAGGTAACAGTAACGTTCTTACTCTGTGGACTGCGGGTTCTCTTTTATTAGTGTTCTTTAAATTTGACATGTTTTTACACTCCCGTGTATGAATGCTATAAATAACAACTAAATATTACTACAACCCAATAAAAAAATGGGTTAAAAAAAATCTGACCGGACACTTCACAAAGGAAGATATCTGAATGGCCAATAAGCATATTTTTGAAATGCTCAGTGAGGAAAATCAATTTAAAACTGTAAGACACCATTATTAGCCACCAGAATGACAACACCAAGTGTTGGTGAGGATGTGGAGTAACTGGAGCTCTGCATCCGGTTGGGGGGGTATCCACATGGTATGCTTTGGGGAAAAGTCTAGAAGTTTCTTACAGAACTAACATACACCAACCTGCTGAACCAGGAATTCCACTCTTACACGGCTGAGAGAAATGAAAGTATATGGCCATAGAAAGACTTGCAGAAGAATGATCACAGAACCCTTGTTTATAATAGCTAAAAACTGGGGAAAGCCCATGTGTCCATCAACAGATGCATGGATAAACAAACTGGAGTACACTGATACTAGGGAATATTACTCAGCAATAAAAAGGAATAAACCACCAAATAACACAATGACCTGGATGGATCACAAAAACATGACACTGAGTCAAAAAAGCTTTATACAAAAGAGATCATACCACAGGATTCCATTTATATGAGGTTCTAGAATAGTCCAAACTAATCTATAGTATGGAAATGATATAATATAATATAAAACAGTAACATAATACACTGCTAATTGTGGAACCTAGATGGCGAGCATATGGGTGTTCACGTCATAAATTTTTTTCAACTTCTCTGTGAGTTTGAAAATGCTTGGAATAAAATGTTGGGGAAATGTAGATATCACTAAAAACAAGGATCTTATTGGCATTTAAATTTAGAAACCAGAATATTGAAGAAAATTAAGGAGATTTCTTTACTGCAGTTCTTTTTTGGAGTCTTTGGTATGCTAATATGCCTTTGGAATCTTCAAGAAGGTTCTGCAGGATGCAGCCTTGCCCAACTGACCTGACCAAAGAGCCCCCTTGCCTCTGGGCACTTCATAGAGTCATTTTCTGGATACCCTCTGAGAAACACTGCTGTTACCTTTCATCTTTGTGTTCACATCTATCCCTCAAAATGAATTTCTAGGAGTTAAGTTTGTGACCATCTAAAAGGTTCTTGTCTCAGTTGCTCACCTGCCCTCCAGAAAGGTCATACCCACTTACTGTGTTTGGGAGTGCCCAATTCACTGCATCCTCATCACAACTGGATAGCACCATTTTACTAATCTTTGGTAGGTGAAAAAAGGCATATCGTGGTAGTTAAAACTTGCATTAATTTGATGACAAATGGAGTTAAAGGTTTAAAAATGCTTACTGGTCATATGTATATCTTCTTTGGACTCAATTTTTCAAATATATCCACTAGAGAAGTATCTTTAGAGTCTAGACATCTAAATCTCCATATTCATGAAGGTGGCTCATCTTTAAAAATTGTCTGAGATGAAACACTTCTCTGGGTGAAGGATGATGTAAATTATGTAGAGGGGACTTTATTTGGGAAACTTGGGCATGTTATTTCTGTCCCCAGTGGGAGAGGAGGTAGAGAGAGAGTTAGTAGAACAAGGTACAAGGTGAAAGAACATTCAAGTATCTAATAACTTCACTCAATTTCCGTTTAACAGCAAATTCTTCTTACCAAGATTTCTCCAAGGATGATGTTAGAAGTTGATCTACAGCCTCGGTAAGGTAGGGATTTGCAGAAATAAACTCCTACTTACTTCACTCAGGCTTTCCAGGCAACAAAAGGGGCTAAGCACACTGAGTACTCAGAAAAAGAGGAAAGAACATCTCGCTGGGCTCCTTAGACCCTTTGAATGTGTTAGGTACCTTTCTTAGGTTCACAAATAACACCAAGATTGCAGGGTGATTCTCTCTCTGCCTTGAGCAGAGGCAAATCCCATTTCACTGTCTGAATCCCAGTGACTTCCTTTCTGTTGTCTGGAGAAGTGTGAATTGTAGGGTTCACACCAACCCCACAAAGGGAAAATCACAAACTTGGCACGTGAAATTAACTAACGTTTTCCCTTATGACAAAGCTGCTTTAGACCACAAAGACTTTCAGAACCAAAGCAACATCCCACAGGAGAAGAGGCCAAATTCACCAACTGTGAATGAGGGACGGGGAGTCTCCCTCAGGGCATGAAGCTGACTCACCAAGGGAAGTGTGTTCTAGAAGATGAGCTGTTTGTACTTCCAAGATTGCCTGGGGACATGATCTGCAGACAGATTGTGGTAATGCCTGTAATTTCCTTTAAAGCTTCTTCTTAGTGTGATACCATGCATGTGTGTTTGGGTTAACTTACACCCTAGATGTGGTTGATTATCGATCAGGAGGTCACCTCCCAGGGGGCAGTCGGCTAGATTCCACTTTCTTAGAAAGTGGGCTAAGAAGCCCACTTTCTTAGAGGCAGCTACTAGAATCGCTTCTGTAAGTTGATACTTTGCTCAATAGAGCGTTGTTAATTAGCATAACAAATGTTAGAAATGGGTTCTAACATCTAATTTGGAGAGATTAGTAGTAGGCAGGATATGTGGATTGGCCAGAATACGCAAGAGACACTCCCCTTCCTGCTTGAACTGGATAAAGAATCTAGAGAGGCTTAGAGCCTCCTACCCCCAGGATGGCTACTTCTCTGTCCAATTCCCTGTGAAGCAGACTCTGAGATGACTTGAATGCCTGTAATTTATTGGAGAAGCGCAGGGAACTGACAGGGGTGGAAGGGAGCTACCACGGATGGACTATAAAGCCAACACCACGACGGGAAACTAAAGCTTATTCTGTGTGGAAGCTCTGACAGGGACCCTAAAGCATACATTTTAGACTTCTCCTAGCTAAGCTCAGAAGCAAGAGAGCTGTGGTATTTATACCCCCACCACTGGTGAATTCCCAGGCACGTCTGACCAGCCGTGGCTGGGCAAACTGGGTTTGGGCATCTCAAGAGCAGCCCTTCAATAAACAGGGGGCTGTTGGAAGTCCATCGGTATTCACAGAAACCGTAAGGGGGTTGGGGCAGGGTACCAGGAGTGTCTGCTTCAGCTCCCTGGCCTAAATCCCCGTGTGGTCACGTGTCCATTATAAACTTGGAGGGCTTTATGTGTTGAAATGGACTCAACAAGGCTAACAGAATCCCACACCTGGAAGGCCAGTTGGTGTATCTACCATTCACAGTCGTGGTGGGTGAGAGGCCTGAAAGCTGGGACTTCATCCAGCCTCCAGAACAGGCTGGGGAGGAACTGGCGCTTGCTTACTAATAACTTGTTTAATAAATATGTGCATGTGGGCAGCATTTCTTCCGAGCCCTTTTTTCCCCTACAATCTAGTAGTGAGACAGTCGAGAGAGTAGTTCTCACCCTCCCTCATGATTCTGATGATTACGATCATCAAGCCGCCCAAACTGAAGAGCAGTGGTGTTAAAAGGCCTTGTCCGCTTGCAGCGGGGGCGCTCCTCAGCACATGGGCTCGGGAACAACGCACCGCACGTTTCTTACCAGACCCCCGAGGCTTCACGCACACCCACCTGCACGGTGTAGCTTCCCAGGGTGGTGGCCCGTTTAAACCGCCGGCCTTGTTGCTGGGACATCATGAACAGCTGGGCCAGGCGCTGCTCCATGACGCGGGCGAAGCTCTGGTTGTGCAGGCCCACCAGGGAATTGTCCACGCCCTGCAGCACTGCGGGTGCAGAAGGCAGAGGGGCTGCTCAGTGGCGAGACTCCCTGCTGACTCAGGGCCCACAACCACCAACATCCCGCACCCATCACCCAGGACCCTGGGCCCATCCCCAGGGTAGGGTTTGGCCATTCTTGCTTCACTTTACCCTCACAACAGCCCCAGGAGTCAGGAATCACCATCCACCTGTTAGAGATGCTGAAAAGCTTAAGCGACTTGCCTAAGGTCACACAGCTAGTCATCAGCAAAGCCAGGGCTCAGACCCGAGCCTGCGCGACCCCAAAGCCTGCGCTCTGTCCGTCACAATCTGTGGCAAGTGTAACGCTGCTGCCTTACATCCCAGCCTCACTGAAGATAGCTCTCGCTGCTGGAGTCCGTGTGGGAATGCAGCACAGCAACAGGTACGGCTAATTGGGTTTTTTGCTGGTCCCCACTCGGAAGCCCTGGCTCAGCACTACCCTGATTTTACTTTTCCTTCCCAGCAGCTCTGCTGAGAAATCTAAGCTCCATCCAGCAATTCAGCTCCTTCCACACGGGCGAACCGCCCTGCTGAGTGTCCTCATCCATCCCTCTCAGGGCTCACCTGTAGAGCTGCCCAGGACCCCCCCCGTACCCTCCCCCTCAAGAGCAGGACAGTGTGATAGAAAGGGTGGGCTCTCTCAGTGCTGGCACTCGGCAGCTGTGGGACTTTGCGCATACCACTGGCCCTCTCAGAGTCCAAGCCCTTTGCTATAAAAAGGGAATAAGAAGGCCTACATCACAGCAGATATATTTCTGGTGAGCTATGAGGTCGAAAAGAGACAAGATGCACAGAGCAGCTTAGCACAGAGCCTGGTGCGTGCAAAGTAAGTGAAACTCCTCTCTTTCCACCCCTCCTCCACTGCTGGGCTTCATCCACACCCAGGGTGTCTGTAATCAACAGGCAGGGCGTCAGTGATGGAATTCCGGGCAATGGCGAGTACATGGAGGGAGATTTTAATGAACACCGGGCCATCCTAGGACTGCTGCAGCCTTTTGCTGTCAACCCCCAAAGTCTGGCTCTTCCTCCAGTCCCTGGGGAAGATGCAGACTTCCCCTAAACACACAAACACTGCCTCAAACACAGCCATTCCTGACATCAAAAATGCTACAAGCAATTCTCATCTTCTTAGACCCAAACTGGGATGTAATACAAGGTTTTTCACTTAGCAGAGTTTTTCTACTATAGTCCAGCCAAGGACCATTCATACCTGGCTACTGGGATGCGGAAATAGCTCAGATATACAGAGCCTGCTGTCATTCTGGTGGCACTCTATCAGGGCCAGAACAAGCCACGGACGATGATGAGATACAGAGAAAGACGTTTAAACTAATCAAGAGAAAAAGAAAACCCATGGCTGAGTCTCAGAAATCACTTCTTTGAAGCCACAAATGTGAAATAATCCCCATGGAGGGTATAAAGCAGCTTTCTTTCCAGGGCCCCTGTGAGGGACCCCCCAGCTCATCTGTCAGCAGAACTCCTGTGAATAAGATAGAACATGCCCGCACATCCCACTGTGGCAGGTCCCAGAGAGGCCCCTCGGAGCCCTCTGGACACAGGCTGTCAGGCTGAGGAAGGGCCGACCAACCTCGTGAGCCCAGAAGAGCCGCTGTTCTCACTGGTTCAGAGACACCCCTCCAGTAACGACAATGCCAACTGCTGAATGACTGCCAACCCTACGCCGGCCTCTCCTGACCAGCGGACAAGAGAGAGAAAGGGGACGCGGGACAGTCAAGGGGTGTCGTCGTGGGTTACTTTAGAGGAACCCCAGTGATGATGCGGGAGGCAGACCTCAAAGGAGAGAACATCAGAGCCTCCAGGTGATGAAAACATTCCGGAGACAGAAAGTGGTGATGGCTGCACAACTTTGTGGACGTACCTAATGCCGCTGAACGGTACGCTTTAAGATGGTTAAAATGGTAAATCACACGTTATGTGTATTTTACGATTTTTTAAATGGAGAGAAAAAAATACCTCCGGGGGAAGTGCAGGAGGCTGTGGGAACCTCCCGCAGAGTTACATGGAATCTACAGCTAGGCGGCTTCCACCAGCCCCGGGGCTCTCTCTGCAAAGAGAACGTGTCCTTGTCAGGAGACAGCTGGAGGGGAGCTGGGGGCTGGAGCCAGGGGCCTGGGCTGTGATCCTCACGCCCCCTTGCTGAGTATGCTTGGTCAAGTTGTTTAGCTCCTCTGGGCCCCAGCTGTGCATCTGAAAACACGGTTATCATCATCCACTCCTGACTGTATCACTGTGAAGAACAGAATACTTCATTTAAAAAAAAAATGCTTCCAGCGTAGGGCTGTAAAGCACTTGAGGGGATGTCCATAAACAGGAGCTGTTGTTGTTCAGATGTGCCTCCTGCTCTGCTAGACACACCCTCGCCAGAGGAAGGGCTCCCGTGGGAAACAGAACTGTGTTCCAGGACCAAAGCTCCTCTCCTCTCCCCCGAGGACTGCAGCGGGCCTCGGGCTCCTGGCCCTCTCTGCCCGGCTGGAAGTGGGTGGAAAGAGGTGTGTGCCCACATCTCTCACAGTGACACAGAGGCAGTGGGGGGCCTTGGACCCTGGCACGGGGGCCCAGGCAGACTGCAGCCCCTCAGCACATCAGCCAGGGCCCTGGCCACCCACTCTTCACCACCACCAACTCAGCTCAGAGGAGGCGAGAAAGTCCCAGCTGTGTTCAGAGGAGTTTTGTCTGCAAGATTTGAAGGCTGTTACATCACTGGTCTCTTACTCCTCTGTTGACAGTTGCACTCGGCTCTAAGAGTCCGATGATCAGGCCTGGATCAGCCTCCCGGACTCAAGCTAAGTTGTTGTATTGGTGGTTGAATCCCACACGCTCAGAGCCAAAGAACCTCAGTGCTCAGATTGCATCTGATTCTAAAGGTGGGTGGGTGACGCCAGAGGGCCTGAGCTGACTTGCTCAAGGACACACTAACTTAGTTAGTAGAAGAGCTGAGACCAGAAGAAATCCTGCGATTGCTGGGTCTGGGGTATTTGACTCTAGTGGGTAAAATAAAGATGATGAATAAACCCAAGAGGGGCCCTCTCCTCTGTCAGGCAGCAAGGTGAAGTCTGCACATCTTGGCCCCACCTCATATCCCCACCCTTGACTGTGGGCTCCGCAACACCTCACAGCTCCTGGGTTCTCTGTAAAGAGAGGCTGCAGGAATCACCCTAACCAGTGATTTTCCATCAAAGGAAGACCCATACTCAAAGAGGGGAGAAGTATATACTGTGCAAGAACGTCTTTAATAAAAGTCTACTTGGAAAACAGATGAAAACATGTCAGGCTTTTATCATACAAATCACACGAAGAAAAGTCGCTTCAAAGCCTCTTGGCCATTAGCAGTGAGAAGACAGGGTGCCCATGATGAACGAGTGCTTATTCGAAGGACTGTGGGTTTGAACAGGTTGAACAAAGCTATCTCTATCTCTCAGATCCCCATCTCCTACCCTTCTGGAAATGATGGTAAAAGATGGTGGTGGCCACTCTGGGGTCTTGAAAGCAGTCACGGGCCAACAGAAAGGCAGGAGGGCCATCCTGAGACCTGGATCTGTCTCCTCTCACCAGCAAGCACTAGACCACTGATCCAGCCAGCCCCAAAGACAGGCACGGGGGCCACTGTGTATTCTGATTACCAACAGCAGCAGTGGTGATAACAAGTAAGGGGTGTCCAGGTGAGTGGGCAGGGGGTCAAGTCCGAGGAGAATCCTGAAAACAAGACCATGTATGGAGCTTTTTATTAAGGTTATGTCACTAAAACAGAGGCAGGGCAAGACACACGTACAGGAGGAAAGGATGAAACAGGAGGTTGTCAAGGACAGAATGTCTTACCATTGAATGTAAACCTTACAGTTAGGAGAAGGGGGGAAACGTCTGCAAGTTGAAAAGCAGCATTCCCTGTGCAGGAGACAGGATTCTGTACATGTTACATAACCTGGTGGCTTCGCAAATGTGTTGCTGGGTTAGCACTATCTCTCTTGGGCATAAACTCTGGTGGGTTGTTTTTTGCTTGTTTTGTTTTTCTCCTTCTTAAAAACATTTTTTTAGTTGGCCTTCTTAGCAAGTAAAATAATCTCTACAAATCCATGGCTTTGCAGGGGAGAAAGAAATGCAATTTTCTGCAATTTAGGAGCAGTCCTGAGCAGGCTTCATCAAGCTCCTTAGTATGAGACAGGAAGGAATTGGGCAGGACATAGCCATCAGCACCAAGATGGCAGAGAAGCCAACTCCCAATAGCCCTGGAGGCCCAGCATGGCAGGAGATTCCACCTCCAGTGACCTCGAGCTTCATTATACACACTGCAATGTACCAGCTGGTGAATGTCACACCCGCAGGTGCCATGACAGTTCCAGGGCTAACCATGAAAGGTCAAAGAGACCAAAGATGGCCCAGTTCCTGGGAATCCCCACTCCTTCCCTATAGTAGTTAGAACAATCCTCTCACTTGTTAGCATATAAAAACTAGCAACACTGCCTGGTGGTGGCTGTCTCTGTCTTGCCTTTTGGGATGGCCAGCACTCTGTCTATGGAGTGTACACCTCTCTAAATAAATCTGCTTTTACTCCACCATGACTTGCTCTTGAATTCTTTCCTGCATGAAGCCAAGGACCGTCTCTTGGCTGGGAGTGTCCTAGGGGTTCATCTGAGACCTGGGATGTGGCCAGCTTCTCACACCCCACATCCCCCACGTATTTTCCTCTATCAAGTATTCTAGGCAGCAGCCTATCAAGTGCTTGTTTGGGACAGCAATGACGGGGAGATGGGAAGGGAAGAAGGGAGGTATGAGATGGGCCTACTTGTCCAGGTACCTCTCCAGGACTTGCAAAATCTTCCTCCCTTCTTGTTACGGGCTGAATCCTGTCCTCTCACAATTCATATGTTGATGTCTTAACCCCCAGGACCTCAGAATGTGATTGTACTTGGAGGTAAGGCCTTTTAAAAGGTAATTAAGATAAAATGAGGTCATTAGGGTGGGGCCTATATAACTGGTGTCCTTTTAAGAAGAGGAAATTAAGACACAGACACGTACAGAGGGAAGACAGCGTGGAGACACAGAGGACAGGTGGCCACCTACAAGCCAAGGAGAGAGACCTCAGAAGAAAACAGTCCTGCTGACAACTTGATTCTGGACTTTCAGCCTCTAGAGCTGGGAGAAAATAAATTCTCACCGTTGAAGCCTCCCAGCCTGGGGTACTTCCTTACGGCCGCTGGCTGGTCTAGCAGACTCATCCCCTCCCACCCCTCCTCTTAACTGCTCAGCTGTTCACTTCTCCTACAAACATGTCCTCTCTTTTTGCTCCCAATCCTTGCTTCTCTAATTTTCCAGAGCTACTGTCTGGCTTCTGAAAAATACAAACAAGAACTTTTTTGCTGTTTCATAAATCTCAGCTGGGAAATGTCAACAGCAAAAGGGAAAATGCCACCCAAACAACCTTCTACTTCTATCCGCCCTCACTGTCAGGACACGCCTGGGCTTGGCCAGCCAGCTCAGTGTGGGTGTGCCAGGGGTGGCATTCCTCTGACTTTCACTTGGGTTTTGTAGGGCAGCACGATCTTTAAAGGGGCAGACAACAATTCACGTGAACCTGCCACCGATTAATGACACACCTTCTGATGGGTGCATGTTTTGCAAAGAGGAAGCCCCTGGGTGTGACTTTCAAGGTAGCTGTTATTTAACACTCATCTCCAGTGTAATGCCTTTTCTTATCTCAGCTTCTCTCACCCACTTCTGGCCCTAAGAAAGTAACTTCTAAGACAGGACCCAAGAAAAGATGCCAATCCTCTCACTGAAAGTCATGCAATTTTCAAAAATAAACCAACCTGGTAGGATGAAAGGGGACATGAAAGAAGAGATTACCTGTAATTACCCAATAGTCTCTGGTTGTTTCTGATATATCAAGGTTGGGATATTCCAGTGCTAAAACAAGCAAGAAACATACCAAATTATTTTCACAGTTTTGTATGTGAATATTGTTCAGGGAAATAGACACAGCTGACAAGATACCAAGCAGCTAAACCCCACACTGTCATTCTTGCTAACCCTAGGACATACAGGCTGAAACTTGCTACTCAGAAAATGAAAATACTCAGCAAAGGGCGAACCTTCAGAGGAAGAGTCTGCTAGGACTCATGGGTTTGTTTCTGCTTTCAGTTTTTCCATCAAAACCTTAAGTGAAACATTTTCATTGTCAAGACCTACAGCTAGAATCTGTCTTAATTATGACTTTCTTATTAAAAATTATTCAGCCATCACTAACATTTTTAGGAATAACTATTTCTGAATGCATTTTTCCAGTGTCAAGTTTAGTAGCCAAATGCTTGTAACCAAGGGTCCCATTTCTCTACAGGTGCGGTGACCATCGGAGTTAATACATGTGAAGGGCTTAGCACAGTTCCTGGCACATAGTAAGTGCTCAATAAATCACAGTTGTCTTATTGTTATTATTTGCAGAATATCAAGATGATAAAAAAATAAATTCTTCGCATGCTGCTGTGACATAATGCCATCTTTTATGACATCTTCTCTTCCATGAAATCAGGAGTCCTCTTTCCTTACTACTTAGAAATTTGCAAAAGCTTGTCATTAAACAAACATTTGAAAAAAATTCTGAGTGGCTACTATGTGCTAAGTATATTTTACAGATCATCTTACTTACTTACAGTCTCAAAAGCAACCATAAAAGGAAACAAAAAAATTTAGCTAATATGTGTTTCAAAAAAACAACATAAAACCCTGCCCATTGACCTTGAGAAATGCACCAACGATTAAATTTCAGAGCACAAATCTTTACGTCCTTTGGCTACCACATAAGTGTTTGGGTACAAAACGTAGGCTGCATCGTCTTCAAAGTCTATGCCTGCTGCATGATAATGAGGATTGTGTAACTGAAGCATTAGAGGAAGACGAGGCCACAAGGCTGTGGGGACTTCATCAAGTGAAGTCACGACACTGATTGCAAATGAGTCGCACTATGATATTTACAGCCAGGGCGAAGGCTGAAGGCCTGGGAACATTTGCTGATGGCAGAAGTAGGGGAAACCACAACAACCCAGATTGCCATGAGGACCGATGCCCCACCAGGCAGCATTACAAGCTCAGAAGGCAGACTGCTTGGGTTCAGACACCCGATTCCATGTCTCACTAGCTACAGGAGAGTGGGCACTCTCAGAGCTTCAGTTTTCCCGTCTGCAAAATGGGGCTAATTTTGCACCTACCTCTGAGGATGGTTGTGAGGAGTAAATGAGATACGAGATAAGTGAAAGGTCAAAGCACTAGCCAGTGCTTTTGCCAAGGTGCAATAAAGTTTTCATCAATTCAATCCCCCTTTATCACATATTTCAGTTGTGTTTTATAGCAGAAGAGGTAGTACATGGCCTGACACCAAGGCGGTTTGCTAACCCGGCAGGACGCGGACATACTCACGTTCAGCGATGGTGAGCGGCGGGTAGGTGAGGTAGAACCCCACCAGCTCGGCTGAGAGCTGGCGGAGGAGGCTGCTGGCGACCGTGCCGTTGAGGAAGGAGCTTCGATTGCCCACCACGTACACCAGGGTGACTGTCTGGGAGGCGTTGGACGTGCTCACGATCTGAATTGACACAGGAGGAAAGGGGAGGGAGACATGCCAAATAAGATGAGGGTCTATTTCATGGAGGCCGTGGGAGGAGAAGTTTCAGCAGAAGCTGAGGGTAGGGATGAAAGGGAGGCGGGAAAAGAGCAAGGAAGAGACAAGAACAATAGTTGTCATTCACGGATGGCTCACTCCCTGCTAAGGGCATGTTATCTCATTTAATTCTCACCACAACACTGGGGAGGGGTGGGTATCCCGTTATGAGTCCCTTTTACACAGGAGGAAACTGAAGCCCAGAATGATCAAGGGACTTGCCCAAGGTCACACAGCGGACATGTGATGGAGCCAGGATTCAAACCCAGGCAGCCTGACTTCTGGTTTTAACCACTGGCGTGTGTATCTTTTCTAGGGACTGAATTGTCTCAGGCTACTTCTGTGGTTCTGATAAGACCAGTAGAGCACAGGAAAGGCCGTTTAAGGAGGCTCAACTGCCCAGACAGAGAAAGCCTGAGTCAAACGTTCAGGGAATTTTAAGGTTAAAAGGATGGGAAATGCACACAGTCAGTCACCAACCTAGTAATGGACAATGTGACTGAACCTGACGACAAAGAATGAATTCAGAAATAGAAAATAGCTTCTTTAGAGGGCAATTCCATTTCCTTGTGGTCTATTATTCAATATAGAATATGATAATGTTACTGGGAGATGGTGTGGTTTTTCTTTTCGAATTTTGTCTAAGTCAGTTTTTCACTTATGAGAAAATGAGACTTTTATGGGTCAATGGATACACAAAAATATCCCACAGATGAGATTCGGAAAAACAGATGCAGCAGGAAGGCCTTCCACCTGGTGAGACCGTCTCTGCAGGCTTCTGTGCTGAGTGGCTACCCCTCCCCTCTCCAGATCCACCTGCCAACGCGCCCTCATCCTGCTCAGCGCCCCCAGAGCCGGCCCCTTGTGGACCACCTGAGTGTGCTCCTTGGCCCTCTGGCTTCAGCTAAAGGGAGCTCAGGAGGAGGGAGGGAGGAAAGGGCAGTCAGAGGGTTGGGGTGGGGACTCCCTCCAGGGGCGGGTCGGGGGTGGTCACAGCTCTTTCTGGGCAGCTCTGGCCTCAAACGCTCCCTCCTCTCCCCTCATCAGCCCCAAATGGTACAGCCTTGGAAGCTGCACTGTCCCATGGTTTCCCCAGAGCCTGCCCACACTCTTGCAAAGTCCCTTTCACTGGATTTTCCTGAAATTACCTTCATTTGAATGTGTCCTCTCTTCCTGCAGGGAGCTGACTGATATCCAGTCTTCCCCAGACCTCTGCATGCTCAGACACAAACATCTCTGCAACTTTCCTTTAAACCTGACTTTGAAGAAGACTGTCAAGAGTAGCTTCTTCACATTATTCTCATGTTTCCCCCTAAGCAGAAGCTCCTTTTAAATTCTCTGCAGAGGCTTGAGTCCCATGATTAATGACCTACGGAGTCGACATTTCTGGTCAACTCTTACTCTCCTCTCCGGAAGTATTTTTAGAACATGGTTTAGCCACAGGTATTCACGCCTCGTTCCTCAAGGTACCAAAAAAAGAAAAAGGCACTTCTCTCTGGATAATTCAAAAGACCTTACCATATTGTTACCTAAAAAAAACCCCAAAAACTAAAATAACTCTGCAACCTGTATCTCTATTGTGAACATTCTATTTTTTTGTTTTTCAGCAAAATGAAATCTCATTGGATCCCAAAGAACTTGCAATATGGTACTTCTGTACACTCTACACTTGACCAGGTAAGTTATATAAATGTATATATATTTTTTTAAACTGAGAACTGACATATAGATTACATTAGCCTCATACATTTTTGTGGTAAAAACACACATGTATTTTACCATTTTAACCATTTTAAGTGTACAGTTCAATGACATTAAGTACATTCACACTGTTGTGCAACCATCACCACCATCCATCTCCAGAACTTTTTCATCACCCCAAATTGAAACTCTGTACCCATTAAACAACTCCCCATTTCTTCCTCTCCCTGGCCCCTAGCAACCAGCATTCTATTTTCTGTCTCTATTAGTTTGACAAAACTAAGTATCTTTTATAAGCGGACTCATACAGCATTTGTTGTTACCGGCTTCTTTCACTTAGTGCAATGTCCTTAAGGTACATCCATGTTGTAGCCTGTGTCAGAACTACCCTCCTTTTTCAGGATGAATAATATTTCATCATATGTATACATCACATTGATTTATCCATTCATCTGTGGATGGACACTTGGATTGCTTCCACCTTTTGGCTGTTGTGAATAATGCTGCTATGAACATGGGTGTTCAAATATCTGTTCAAGTCCCTACTTGCAATTCTATTGGGTATATACCCAGAAATAGAATCGTTGGATCACATGGTAATTCTACGTTTAATTTTTTGAAGGACTGCCATACTGTTTTCCACTGTAGCTGCACCACTTGACACGCCCACCAGCAGTGCACAAGAGTTCCAATTCTTACTAAGACTTGTTACTCTATTTTTTCAAAATAATATCCATCCTAATAGGTATGAACTAGTATTTTGTGGGTTTTATTTGCATTTCTTTAATGATTAGTCACATAGAGCATCATTTCATGTGCCTACTAGTTACCTGTATATCTTCTTTGGAGAAATGCCTGTTCAAATCCTTTGCTCATTTCTTAACTGGGTTGTTTGTTTTGTTGTTGTTGAGTTGTAGGAATTCTTTATCTATCCTAGATATTAATCCATTGTAGATATATTATTTGTAAGTATTTTCTCCCATTCTGTGGGTTGCCTTTTGATTATGTCCTTTGAGCCATAAAGTTTTTAATACTGATGAAGCCCAATTTATCTATTTTTTTCTTTTGTTGCTTGTGCTTTTGGTGTCATATCCAACAAATCATTGCCAAATCCAATGTCATGAAGCTTTTCTTTTCTGTTTTCTTCTAAAAGTTCTATAGTTTTAGCCCTTACATTTAGGTATTTGATCGATTTTGATTTAATTTTTGTATATAGTGTTAGGTAAGGATCATTCTTTTGCTTGTGGATATCTAGTTTTCCCAGTACCACCAGCTGAAAAGACTGTCCCTCCTCCCACTGAATGGACTTGCTACCACTGTCAAAAATCATATGACCATATATGCAAGGATTTATTTCTGGGCCCTCTGTTCTGTTCCATTGGTATATAAGTCTGCCTTTATGCCAGTACCACAGTGTTTTGATTATCATAGCTTTGTACTAAGTTTTAAAATCAGGAAGTGTGAGACCTCCAACTTTTTCTCTTTCAAGATTGTTTTGGCTATTTGCAGTCCCTTGAGATGTCATGTGAATTTTAAGATGGATTTTTCAATTTTTGCAAAAAAGTCACTAGAATTTTGATAGAGATTTCATTGACTCTATAGATCAGTCTCAGTAATACTGATATCATAACAATATTAAGTCTTCCAGTTCATGAGCACAGAGTGTCTTTCCATTTATTTGTGTCTTCTTTAATATACTCATTTTTTATATAGCTAAGAAAAGTGTGACCATTCTTCAGGGCTGCTTAACACCACTTTCATAAATAAACCAAGGGCAGCTTATTTATCTTGGTGTCCCTTCCAATGCCTGATAAAGAGCAGGTACTCAATAAGTCTGTGCTTCCTGAATACAATTAGAGTATGTTCTGCTGCCAAGCTCTAATAAGACTCATTTACATATGAGGATCACAAATCCCATCAGAAAGAAAAAGATCTCCCCCAAAGGAGCTGAGTCATACTCCTTATATAAATCTTATGTCTGTGACATGTTTTTTAGATCTTAGTCTAATAGGAACCAAATCATAATGAGATACTTCCACATATACTTTGGGTAAATCTAGAAAAGGAAAGCTGCTCATTCAAATTAAATTGTATGCTTTCCACATCATATTGGTTTTGCTGATAATTCACTTATGCTAAATGTCAATTTTGAAACCACTGGGTTTAATTGCAAAGGCTTTTAGTTCAGTAAAAACAGAGACATTGGTTAGTACAGTTAATTTGAGAAATTTGGGGGCTGGATGAATATCACTTAGAAGCATCTGTCTTTAGTGGGATGTTATCTATATAATTGTAAAAAATGGGTCTGAGAAAAGCTTCTGGTAGCAAGTCTACTATGAATACAGGAAGCTGAAATACAGTACACTGGGAGTGGGACTGTCCTGGAAGATAATTCATACACTCTTCAAAAACTTCATCAAGGATCCCATTTCCACACTGCATTGATGCTGGCAGAGCATGGTGGATGAGAGCATGGGCTTTGACTCAAGTCCTAATTCCATTCTTTACCAACTGTGTGACCTTCTGGATGCTCCTTACCTTTCTCTCAGTTCCCTTTCTTGTGAAATGGTGATAATAACACATCAGAAGGATGTCTTGAGTATTACACAGCAAAACATTTGTCAGACACTTAACACGGTCCTGGCACACAGTAAGCCCTAGATATAAAATGTGTGTGTATATGTGTGTGTATGTGTTTAAACTAAGGTGATCGTTTACGTAGATGTCTGGAAAATAGCTCAGTGAAAATCACAGAATAGGCAACTCTTGGTGAGTTAGCTATTTAGGAATGACTCATTTTATATGCAACATTTGACACATAGAGGATATGCTAGTTCATTTTTAAAAAATAATAAATGCATTAGAAAGGCCTGGAGACTTCACATGGGCTAATAAATATAAAATCCCCAATCATAGCAGGTACACAGTGACATAGCATCTCTCTTGTCATGACCATACCCCAGATACCCCTATCAGTGCCAGGCCTGAGTCAAATCAGTGGCCTGAAAGTGGCACCTTCTCCTGTCTACATCACATGCCCAAAGAACCAAGTTGCACTTACACCAGGCAGTTTTGAAATGGGGACCAAGTCATTTCCTGCCAACATTTGTGTTATGGTTGGCCTCTGTCGACTACACGGCTGAAGCATCCTCCTCCTCACCTGAATCGTCAGGTTGCTTTTAGTATTCAGAACTTTCTTCTCCGCATCCTGGAAGGCCCTCTGCAGCCTCTGTTCCATCGTCTGAGCAAACTTGCAGGACTGTATGTTGTCAGATTGGCTCACGAACTGCAGCACTAGGATGAGAATAAGAAATCAGGGCCCACCAAAGCTCTGTGTCTCAGTTCCTTGAACTCAATAGCAGTCATGAGATAAGATGGCATGATTTTACTTCAGAGAAATTAGGCAAATAAGGATGGACAAGGTTTGGTTATAGTTTTGGAAGTGGCTCTTAAAATGATTTATAATATAGAAGAATTGAATGCATGATTGAACCTGAGATTCCCTCCAATGCAAAGGATTTTGTGATTTCATTCGATTGGAATTTGGAGACATCTGGTCCAAGACAAAAAAATAATTTAACAGCGATCATATCTTCTATTTCTTTGGAGGAAAAAAAAATGAATTGACCTGCATTACTAAGTTGATTGAGTCTTTCAATTTCAATGGTTCCTCTACTCTTGTGGTTTACAAACCACAAGATAAGAATCACCAGGGAGTTTGAAAGAAAGGAAGATTCGGGCCTAAGCTCAGAGATTCTGATTCAGCAGCACCTGGAATATACTGCTGCAAAGCATAGATTTTATAGATGCTCAGCTCTTCTCAGCATCCATCAGTGATACAGAAAAAAACATAAAAATACAGTACTTGACCCTCATAAGTACTAATTATATAAACTGGGAAGAAAGACTCATGTGAAGGAATATTTCTAATAAATCCAGGGTTAGAAAAGTTTAGGCTGCTGTGCTGGAAACTTGGACAATTGATTCACAAGGCCTTTTTTTTTTATGTTGTAATATATTTTTTAACATAGTGAAAGGGCATTGATTCAACATAATGATTACATCTATTATTTATAGATTCTATTTTTTTTTATTGAAGTACAGTCAGTTATAATGTGTCAGTTTCTGGTGCACAGCACAATGCCCCAGTCATGCATATGCATATATTCATCTTCACAAGGCTTTTGGAGGAAGCTACACAGGGACTTAATGAGATGACAGAGCAGCTAGCCATGGAGTTGTCAAATAGGTGTCTTCTTGGTACCACCCCTGATCCAGAACGGAGAGGCATCCTTTCCTTCTGAGTTACTTGCCTGTTTTCAGCTGGAAGTAGCCTGCAGGCTGGGGAGTCCACGGGGAAGCAAGTACTGCCACCGATTGCAAGTTTGGGGCGTGTTGCTTCAGATCTGCAGTGACGTTGCTGACCCCATAAACACCCAGCATTTCGATCACTGCCGCAGGCAAGTACACCAGCCTCCCTTTCGTGGCGTAATAACCAACTGTAATGTTGTGAGAATGTTCCAGAATGTCCACCTGCAAAACAAATGGACCCACAGAACTCAGAGTCCACTTCCATGGTGCTGTAAGTTCTTCCTGGTGTTTCTTAGAACCACAACTGTTACTTAGCATGGCCAGGGGAACAGGATGTCCCCACTGGAGAAACATCCCAACAATCCTATGAAGCATACATGGATTGGCAAGTCTCAAAATATCAAATCTCAAATATATACAAGAAGTATAATTTATATCAAACCTACACGGAATAGAATTAAATCTGTGGGGTTTTGATTTTGTTTTTTGATTCCTTAAGTGCCTTAGTATAATTCTGTGAGTACCACTGATCACCAAGCAGGCAGGTAGGCAGGAGATGATGGGCAAGAGAGATTTCCAGGGAATGGTATTCTGGGGAAAACTGCTGTATTATATTTCTCATGAACATCAAAAGGCAGAAATGATAGATTAAGTGAGGCCCCCTACAGGACAGGGGCCAGGTAGTAAATGAGGTGAATTCCTCTCTCTAGAAGCTGAGAGAAGAATTGTTCAGACTTCACTCCATTCTTGGCTTGTAACTGTTTCAAGACCAAGACAGGGATGGGCCACGGCGAATTTCTCCTACAGCTGAGTCCTAAGGGGTGCTGATGATCTGAGCTCTTTCTGACCCAGCTGGAAGGTTTTGAGGCTTTCAAATTTATTCTTATTTTGTTTTGCTTTCTTAGTGTTGTATATTAACAGTTGAGGCTGTTTTTAACACCTGCTTCCCCTCCCCTCTTATTCTTGCATCATGTTTATTTGCTAAAAAAACCAAGACAACTGATTTTGCAGCAGGCTGGGTGTGCCTTTGCTTCCTCCACACTGTGTGTGCCTCCAACACTTTTGTTACCTAAAGGTGGTGTTCAAGATGCCTGTAGGTGGGACAAGAGATACTTCTGGATGGAACATGGATCAGCAGTAAACGTCACCAAATCACCCAGCGAGAAAGTGACTCCTGTTCGAATCCTTCCAATTATCTCAAGGCGCAAGTCTCAGTTTGAGGATAATTTACTTTTAACACCTCTCTAATCCTTGCTAATCATATTTTTAAACAAAGGGACACCAGGCCCAGCCTTAGAGCCTTCTTCAAGCAACAATGTCTAGCTTGAATTTAACAAGCTCTCTTCCACTGTTCTCATTTCTGTGATCATCTTTTATTTATGCCAAATGATCCTGATTTCCCTTTATGGTGGTAATACCAAACGTCCTTTCAAAAGAAATGTGTTTAAGTTTTTAAAAATAAAAGCAGATTAAAAAAAAACTAATACATACTAATTGTCACAGCAATCTGTGATGATATACAAAAAAAATAGCAGAAACTGACCAGTAGCTTGCAAATGACTAAATTTTAGTGAAAACTGTTTCAGGTAACCAAATGGAAACCTTTACTTTTTCAACTTTCAAATGAAGTTTCTGGTGCAGAAACCAAAGATTCCTCTTGTAGAGAGCATTTCTTCCTTTTCTTCTTTTTTTTCAGAATTGTATAAAAGAGATGGACCATGACCAATTAACTGTGTACTCAGTCTCCTTGCGAGGCTTTCATGTGGTGGTGGGGACCACTAATTTGAATGCAGCTGTGGCACAAACCTTCAAAGGAAGAAGCCAGAGCAATATTTTTAAGTGATGTAAAGGGTGGTCCACTGACTGCCAATCACATTTACTCCTTTAAAACTTGGAATCAAACCAAAAGAGTGCAAAGCAAGGCTTCCATCACTTGGATATGTCATCAAAATCAGCTAGTGGTTGTTAACTAGTACTTGGCATTAAAGTGTTTGGAGGGAAAAAAAAGTTTTTTTCCCGTCTGCTGCTGGCAACTGAAGCAAAGCTGGACTCAATTTACAAGTCAGAGTAATTTTTAAAGGTCTAGAAATAAATCACTAACTGTTTACAATAGTGAGGAAGATAGAGGCCAAAGCAATGGATGGTTTCTGCAGAATTATACCGATGCAATTAAATAGTTTCCCCAAACAACAGGATATTGGGGTAATTTAAAACAGTACATTCAGGCTTTGAAAAAAATCTAGACATAAGGCAATTATCCTCAGTTTTCCATCTCAGAATTTGACCTTTTTCTCCAGCTACCACGCATTAGCTATTTGCCAAAACGATGAAAGATCCTATTTCTGTTGTGGCTGTGGTACCCAGGGAGGAGGAAGACAGTCTAAACAGACTCCAGACCGCTGAGGAAGATGTGGGTGGATTAGCTTGGTTACGAAAGCAGGGGGCTTACATGAGCCGAGACATCATTCTGGTGGAACGCCTTCCGCAATGCCTGTGTGAGCCCTTTAGCTATGTTGAACTTCAGGGTTTCACTGATCTGCACCCTCCTTTGGGTCAGAAAGAGAACTGTGGGGTGAAACAGAAGCACACGATCAGCATGATAAGGCAGCAGACCTCCTAACTGATCAGCCCTCCTCTCCATCTCACCACCATCTCTTGCAGGTTCTGAGCAAAGCTGGTGCATACAGGTCCAACCAACGCGTTGGTGGGTAGGGGCGTGGAGGGGTTGCTGGGTCAGCATCTCAGTTGGTTCCACTCAAGTCCTAAAAAGTCCTAGCCATTTGCGGGGCCCTAGTGGAGAGAAAGAGCTAGTGTGCGGTGGCACTTCTGACCAATGCTGCCTCTGACTCTGAAAGCCAGGCTTAGCCATGCCTGCTCCTGGTGGGTCTGCATGCAAGAAAATTCCCGCAACAGCATCCCTGAGAGGCTCCTTAAATGCAGGCCCTGAGCCAGGTGCTACACTCTAAAACAACCCAGCATCAGGAGGTGCACTCCCCACCCTACAAGTGGGACAGAGACAGGGATGGAGACCCAGGTGATGAAGAGGCATTTGTGATCGAACATGACAGGTGCTATTTGATGGGAAGCCTAGGATGTTGTTGGAGGCCCTTGGACGAGCATCTGGCTCTAACCTGGGCAAGACGGCAGGGATCAGGGAAGGCTTCTGGGAGGAACTGATGCTTCCACTGAGTCTTGAAGGATAACGAGCGTGAGTGAGGCAAGGCGGGAAGGACTGCCCCCACCAATCCCAGCAGAGGGAAGACTGAGTACAAAGGCACAGGAGAGAGAAATGCATACTTCAGTCTACATGTTCAGGCTTGGTCCTGAGGGCAGTGGGAAACGAAGGGTTTTAAGCAAAGGCATGCATTTTAGAAGGTTCCCTTGACTGCAGACTGGAGAACAGATTGGAGGGTAGGGGAAGTCTGAAGGCAGAGAGATAAATTTGACTGTTGCAAAAACTGAGGTGAGCGACTGATGGTGTGAACTAGGGAAGTGGTGGGGAGGGGGTGGATAGAAGAGGTGGTCAGGAGGTAGGACTGGAAGGAACCAGGGGCTGATTAGGGGTGGCTGGAGTGAGGGGAGGTTGTGAAAAAGAGGGAAGGGAGAATGTTCCAGACTTCTGCATCTAGGTGGCTGGGGGTGCCTGCCACTCAGAGGAGGTGGTGGAGATCTGGAGTGAGAGGGAGTGGGGGAGTGGAAAACCAGATGGTACGATTTCTTGAGAAAGAGATACTGTGATTTCTGCTGTGCCACGTTCACAATTTCCCATTTTAGAACAAGAAATCTCTCAGGAAATAATTCCATTTAATTCTCTGTGGGGCAAAGAAGGCGGGACATGAGCATCCAACACTGGCATGCTCCTTCAAATAACGTGTCTAATGTTGTTTATAACAGACACTACCACACTAGTAAAAGCGTCCTGTGCCTTCTTGGCCCATGTGCTGCAACTCAGAGGTGGGGGCCGAAAAGGTAGCACCCATCACCCAACTTTTTCAAAAAAGTCTCCTTTTCAACATCAGCAGAAATTGTGCGCACTGACATAGTGCACAGTAGCTGTACTTTTAGTATTTGCTGGTTGAAAAAACACAGGACAGAAAGCCTTTCTGAGTTCTGTAGCCCTTCCTGAGACTTTCTATTTCGCTGATCACATCATCCATGCATGCGAGACATCACTGATTCACTCTACAGGCAAAACTTGGTGCATGTTTGCTTTCGCAGACTCACTGGCAGGACTGGTTTCCAAGGGGGCCTCTGATATCAGGATGGATCCCAGGACCAGAGTCCGTGTCACATGATGCTCCTTCTCTCCTCTGTCACTTGATAAAGATCAGGGCTTCCCAACCTCGGCACTACTGATGTTTTGGGGCTGGATTATTCTTTGTTGTCTGAGCGTCCTGTGTACTGTAGGATGTTTAGCAGCCTCCCAGGTCTCTGTCTCACTAGATGCCCATAACATCCTCCCTACCCTCCAAGTCGTAGACACCCCAAAACATCTCTAGACGTGGCCAAATGTCCCCTCAGGTGGGGGCAAAACCATCCCTGGTTGAGAACCACTGATCTCAGAGAAATCTAATAATTCTGTTACATCTCGGAGGCCAGGATGCACCTCCTGCTTTCAAGTTACATGAGGACAGTGGACTCTTACCTGTCTTCACCAGGAGCTTGCTGGACATCTGACACTCGAGGTTGGATGCCATTCTGCCAGTTGTGACCATAGCAGTGGACGCAGCGGGAAGAGCAGCATCTGTGTTTTCTGCTGACAAAGGTGGCATCCGGGTGGCCCTTACTGGCGCGGTGACAGACGTCAAGGCCGCCGTGATTGTCAGCGGGCGCGCGGTGGACGCCCTGGGCACGTCTGGGTTGGTGGGGTTTGGGAAGCCCGGGTGCATGGCTTGTGGTTTCCTGGGGAGGTGTGTTGCGGACAGCAGGCCAGAGGCGGCGCCCGTGTTCCCCTGCATGGTGGGGTGAGTGCTCACGGTGTGGGCTGTTCTTGCAAACATGTAGGTTGGCGTGAAGGAGAAGGCTGGGTGGGCTGCCCCTGGTGTCACCTTTGGGCTGGGTGCTGCGTTGTTGGTGACATTTTTAGCTAGAGCAGTGGTCCAGCTGCTCTTGACTAACCCCGCAGCCACAGCCGAAGGGCTGCTGCCAGCGCCCTTGGCAACCAGGGCTGCAGACAGCACCGGTGGACTTGATTTCCGAAGAAACAGTGGGGTTGCTGCTGTCGGTTCTGCCTTGGGCAACACCGAGAAGTCCGCTGCAAAGAGAGAAAAAGCAACGTTTGTCATTGGCCCAGAATGCACACACCCCTTTTGGAAATGAATGGATGTAACTCATGGGTTTGCTGAGGTGAAAAGTCTCTGAGCTCTGGAACTTAGGCGAAACAGCTTTAGGTTCGTTAAGTCAATTAACCAAAATGAGAATGCCACTTAGGGCAAAGCTATGGCTGGTAATAAGGACACTTAAATTCTGAATACTTTCCAAAAATATCAAGTCGGCAGAAGATCAAGGACATGACTGTTTAGACTGCTAACTCATTCATCAACCTGAAATCAGGGTGGAGCTGCTCTGTCTGAGCAAAGCCAGGTATCTCTGCTGAGCTTGAAGATGCTTTGGCCACAGAAGCAGTCATATCTAATTTGGGGGGTACCAGGAAACAAGCTACCTGCATCAGTGGCTGCACCTGTCCATTTCTCGGGGTGCCGAGAAGCCAGCAGTGCTTTGGATGGGGTCCTGAGTAAGGTACTGGTTGACAGAGTAGAATCAGCAGTAGAGTGATATCTCGGGATACTCTGGAAAGGTGTGGAAGCATTTATCACTGGAGATGGATCGATGTCGGCAGAGATTTGGAAACTTGTACTCATTCCATCTGAAAGCATTTCCTGCAAGCTAGCTGTAGAAGTTAGACTTGGAGAAGTTAGCAAAAGAGGATGGGTTGGATGGGCAGGCAGCTGTGGATGGGGACGAGACACAGAATGTTGACTTATGGATGGGAAATCTTCAACTTCAGCTGTTTGCAAGTCTCTGGTATGGTCGTTAGTGCTCACAGACAAGACATCTGTGTGGTTTCCAACCATGGTAATGTCTGACTGTTGAATGGGCTCACTGGGGTTGATACCAGAGACTGGATACTGAATGCTAAAACCTTCTGCAGTCACTAAATGCTCATCATTATCTTTGAAATCCCCAGATGTTATTGTATTGGCAGCTGAATTTAAACCACCGGGAGGAGTGGTTGACGCTGAATGAGTTTCCCAACTTGTGGAGTTAACTGTGTGCCCATTTATATCATAATTTGTTTGCTGCAGCAAGCCAGATATTGTTGGTTTTGTGGTAAGGGATCCAGTTTCTGTTGAAAGAGAACTCCAGAAAACATCTGTGAGTGCTGGCTTCTTCATGTCTCCCATTGTTGAGAAATCAAAGACCTCACTGGAGGAGGGAAATGCCGTCACCTGTTTGGAAGCTGAAACTGGCAACTCAGACTGGTCTGTCACAGCTGTGGAAGTCTCTGGCTTGGTGTTGGAAAAGCTAAGAGGTAGGGAAACTGTCTGGGTGGCTCGTGCGAAGGGGATGGATGGTGAAGGTAATTCTGAAGGAAGAGGGTTTGTTCTTGGTGTTGTGGAAACATGATCAGTGCTAAAATCAGAGGTGAATCCATTTACAGTGTGAAGACTTGGAATCTCTTTACTTGGATGGGTCTGGAGAGCAACTGTCAAATTTGCCTTTTCATTTTTCTTTAAAACAGCTGTCCCACTATCTTCTCTCTGCAGGGGAAATGTCCAAGTCGTGGAAGGAAGATTAGGAAATTTGCTTGAGAGGGGGAAGTCTGTAGCTGCAGTAGGAGGGGATCCATCATCGCTGGCATCTTGAGGAGTTGGCTTCTGGGGCTCAGTGAATGGAGAGGCATGATTCCACGCCAGACCAAGGAAAGGAGGTGTAGAGGGGAAATCTCCTGCTGTGCCATTGGATGGTGATGTGAGAACCGCCCCAGAAAGCATGTCTTGCCCTCGGCCGGCTGTGGTGAGAGCCAGAGGAGAAGGCACCAGAGGGGAAGATGTGCGTTCTGCTGAAAGGGCGGGCCCTTTGGAATTCTCTGGAGCTGCTGACAGATGACGGGGGTGAGCAGAGTCATTTGCAGTAGCAGGGGCTGCCTTTCGGTTGGTCACCTCCACTGCCACTGATTCTATGGTCTGGACTGGTGAAGACGCAGCCTCACGGGTCACTGCTGCTGCGCTCCTAAGAGCCGGCAAAGACACCTTATTACGTGCTCTTTCAGCCCCCTCAGCCTGGGTGGATGCAGGACTTGAAGTCACTTCCAACATCGACGGTGAGGGCGTTCTACCTGAAAGCTGAAGAAGACTTCCAAGTGCCCGGGGAGGAGGGAACCGATGGGCCAGGGCTGCCACCCAGCTCAGAAACTCAAGTGTCGGGGAGCCGGCCGAGTGAGGTCCCACTGCTGGGGCTGAGGAGCCAGAAAAACCTAGATGAGGGATGCCTATTAAATCCTGGACATTTTTGGATGGAGTGTGGTTCATTTCCTCAGCAAATGGGTTTAGGGGGTTAGCTACGTGCTGCCTGGAGGAGGAGTCAGTTGGAGCTGTTCGGGGGAATAAAGGCACTTTGGTGGGTCGCCCTGCTGGCTTAGAAAAGATGATGGAATGAGGTGAGTCAGGAGCCAGTGAAGAAGATGAAGATGGGGGGAGAACGTGTGCCCTCAGGGAATGTTGGTTTGAAATGGAAGGAGTCCCTACCCACGGCGGCCACGATGGATGGGCGGCACTCAGGGACGTCACTGATGGGACGGTGGACAATGGGGGGTGCATGCTGGTGTGAGGCAAACCTGACATGGCAGCTGCTTCCTTTCCCCCTTGAGGTCTTGGTTGGACCAGGGACTCAGTGGAATCCTTGGAAGGTTCGAGGGAGGCGCTCTGGCCACTTCCTTGGTAAGGGAGAGAAGAGAAGTCCCCATGAGCCCGAGCCCTGCGGTGTGTCTTGGGCGGAGGTGTCCGGACAGACTGTGGCAAGCTTGTGTTGTCAGGGGACGGTCCTGGCACAGTCTTGATACTGCCCACTGCTGAGGAAGACTGGACTTCTGAGAAAGGCCATGTTGGTGAAACTGGTAACAATTTCCCATGAGGCAATGACTCCGGGGTTGGGGTGACAGTGATCTGCAGACTGTCTGTTCCTGTGAAACAAAATATCAAGCAGTCAGGCATGGGATAATCACAGGTACTGGAGAGATGGGTGGGCAAGACAGGGACCTCACAGGGCTTCCGCCCCGTCACAGAAGACTCATTAAACACATTCAAACAATACATTAGGTAATTACAAACATGTAGATGCTGCATCTGACCTATAGGGCAGAGCTGGTGGGAAGCGGTCTCTGATGAAGTGACATTTAAGCAAAGATGTAGAAGATATGTGTGTATATTAAATCTCTTTTCTAAACCACCTACAAGGGTTGGACTGTGAAACTCACAACCTAGAAAAATCAAAGACAAATATGGCTCCCTGCCACAGCCAAGGACACCACAATAAGCCTCATCCAAGAATCCAAAATGCAAAAGGAAAGAACTCTGTATCCAAATGCGAATCTTTTCTTTTGGACCCTAGGGCATCTCAAGCATGATAACTGAGGTTACCTATGTTTGGAAAGAAGGCACCAAGGAGACATATTTATCCTGTTGGATTTAAAAGGATCCCTGATGCTGTTGTTCACACCATGTCAAACAGCAAAGGGGATTTCTTCCAAATTAGGCTATTTCTGAGAGAGAAAAGCTATTCACATCCCACCCAGGACCAGAGACAGCTCTCGCCAGGCCTGGTGCCACTACAGGCACCTGCAGAGAAACCAGAGCTGTCAGCACCAATGTGCGAACCTGCAGGCAGAGAGGTGAGGAGACGGGGCACAAAACGTGACTCCGCAGGATAGGAGGCAAAAAAAAAAAAAATAGCTGATCAGAAAGCTGGAGATTTCACACTTGGGAAGAAACAACATCCCGCCTGGGTATCCTCTGATTCCCCTTCCCACAGTGGTGTCGATGGTGCTGATGACCCCAGAGGTGACTAAGTGCACTTAAACAATATTTTAAATTAAAAATAACAAAAACAAGGCACTTCTAGGGCTTTCTACATTATTGGCAAAACACATTAGCACTGTCTGACGGAAGCAAACAAACCAAGAGCTGAAATCAGAAAATCTGGGTTTGTGTGCACCTTCCAGCCACTCGAAGCTGTACGTGCGCCTTATACAGAAATAACTGGCAGGTGCACATACAGCTACAGGACACAAAAGTCTACAGCATTTCATTAAAATACCTGCACTCCTTGGGAACTGCCCCACAGTTTGCAATGGAAATTGTGTTTCTGTTACCACACGAAGCCTAAGGAAGGCTTCATTTCTCAGTTGGCTGCAATTTTACATGGAAGACTGATACTGCTGTCATGCCTCAATCCTTATTTACATTGCTTATCTCCTAGATAGACTCAGCTTCCTACCTGTCATGCAGTCTTGTCTGGTTATGTACACGGGTGATACTTACATGTACATGGGTGCATATAATTCCCATATAATGCAGTTTTTGCATTTTGGTATTTTCCAGTAACACTTCAGAATCCACTTTTATTACCTGCATGTCAGATGAAATCTATGCCGGATTTATTCTTTCGTATTCTCATTGAAATATATTCAATCATGGGTTCAACTCATGGACTCAGGAGACATACCAAATTAATCTTATTTCATGTAAGTCAAAAAGGATACATTAGGCAGAGTAGCTTCTGCTTTCAGCAAGATTTTTTCCAAGGTCTTTCATAAAAATCTTACAAACGGGAAGGAGAAGTGGGTGCTGGATGGTTAATACAAGGGAGACTGTAAATGACTGAACGGCTGCAGCCAAAGGAGGCTGAATGAGAGTTCCATGCTGAAGTGAAGAGATGGTCCCTAGTGAATTTGCCACTGCTAACTTTGTTGTTTCTAGACTAGAACCCAGTGTTTCCCAAGCTATCCCTTACAAAACACTGTGTCCCAAGATGCCTCGTGAAGAAAAGTTTCAACAAGCTAACAATTTTGAGAAGTGCTGTATACTACACTCATACCTAACAGTCACTGATGCTGGTCACCATACATTTCTGACTCTCCACCTTCAGAGCACATACAGGACTGCACTTCCTAGACACCTCTGTGGTTGGGTTGGGCCATGTGACTAACTCTGGCCAATGAGTTGTGAGCAGAAGTGACAAGTGTCACTTCTAGGCTAGAACATTTAAATGCTGGAGCAAGACTCCCCAGAATTTGCTTTCTCTGAAGGAAAAAAAAATCCTAGCAATATTGTATCTCAATAAGTTGTTAAGAAGAAGGAGGAGGAGGAGAAAGAGGAGGAAGGAGGAAGGGAAAGAGAAGGAAGAAGAGGAGGAGGAAGTTAGCAATATTCAAAATGTTTGCTGGTCCACCAGCCCAGGTCCCTTAGGGACTATAATAAGCAAAGGCCCTCTGCTGTGAAAGTACATACAAGTAGCATGAGCAAGAAGTAAATTTTGCTGTTTTAAATCATTGCAATTTGGGGGATGTTTGTTACTGCAGCATAACCTAACTTATCCTAACCTATTCAAAAATTGGTATAAAAGTGGATTTGGAACTTAAAGGACAAACTCCTTTGTACATCAACATTTAAATACAGGCTCAGAGAAGTCCCACAGACAAGAAAACATAAGAATGCCTGGGATGCAGTAAAAAGTCAATAAATCAATGTTGGATGGTTTAGTTAAATTTTGGCCAAAATTGCTCAAAAATATTTAACTTCTGAAATATGTTTAGGATATTTTTCAAATACATTTGACCCCAGAACTTGGTGACTTTAAAAAAAAATGATATACATAAAGCTAAGGAAGAAAGCATGTTCATTGAATTAGCAAATGATAGCAAATTCAAAAGAATAATTGATATGAAGAATTTCAGAGAAACACGCTTCAAGGACATGTCAACTGATTGAAATTACTGTTGAAAAAAGACGTAAATTAGAATTAAATATAAAGGCTTGACCTTAACCTACATATTACCTAGACAGGAACAGAATGGTGGAGCTTCCCCTTAAGAATAGCTTCCATTACCTGTATGTAGAGTTGACTGGAGCTCATTATGAACTATAATAGGAATGTAGGCTAGCAAGGAAGTTAAAAATTCTTAGGCTGCATTCAATTTTTTTCACTCCTGAAATTAAAAAAAATTCATACTTAGGAAATAATATCTATGATGTTTATATGTAAGCTATAAAGAATAAAGGATGAAAACAAACATGGTCTCTGGCTCCATGGAACTCACAGTCTCATGGGAGACGTGGAGTTAAATCAAACTCTCACAAATGTAAAAATGATAGCTGTTAACACACGAAAGATGCATAGTCCTTAAGAGCATGCAACAGGAGGGTGTGACCTGATCAGAGGGGTCAGAAATCGCATCACTAAGGAAGCGGCCATCAAGCTGAGATCCAAAGAATAAGTAGAAGTTAATCAAGCAAAGAGGGTAGGGAAAAACATTCCATGTAGAAAGATGAGCATTCGCAAAGCCCTGTCACAGGAAGAAGCATAAACAGTACAAGGGACTGAAAAAAAGCAAAATCAGGAGAACACGAGTGGGCGTGGCATGAGATAAGGCTGAAGAGCTGGTGGATGACCAGACCACTGGAGTGTCACAGATTTTAGGTTGAAGTGGAGGCAGTGAGGGTGGGTGATATACAGGGGAAAATTTGTGTTTCAGAACAATCACTGTGGCTACAGAGTGAAGATGGACTGAAAGGGGCAAGAGTGGATGACAGGAGACCAGTAAGGAAACACCTGTGGTGGTTCAAGGATGTGATGACAGCAAAGCTGCAAAGAGGAACTGAGCCTTGCATGGGAGATTAAAATAGATAATCCTTTATGGTCCCTTTTAGTTCTTAAGAGTCCAGGGTAATGTATTCCTATAAATATGTTTATGTTCATGTATATGGTGTTTTTTTTAATGGCTGCAAATTCTCCTACATGCTTCTCATTGAGAGCTAGGGTCAAGGTCCCCTTCCCTTGGGTGGACCTGAGACTGTTCAACCAATTAGAGTAGGGGTGAACTAAAGTCACATGACTTCTGAGGCTATCATCATAAAAAGCAGCTTTCCCTTGGTCCTCGGAATGCTCGCTCTCCATGTCCTCCCTCACTGCCCCTCCTGGAACCCAGCCACCACTCTGTTAGCAGCCCAAGCTGCATGGAGAGGTCATGTGTAAGGACTCCAGTCAACAGTCCCAACTCAGCCAAGCTTCCCAGTCATCCCAGTCCAGGTACAGGCAGGTGAATGAAAAGGCTGCCAGATAATCTACTCCCCAACCACTTGAATCAGGCTGGCTGTCTCTTCCCTACTGAGACCCCAGACATCAAGAAGCAGAGACAAGCCACCCCCACTGTGTTCTGTCTGAATTCCTGAAACCATGAGCACAACAAAATGGCTGTTATCTTACAGCACTTAGCTGGGGGTGGTATGTTGTGCAGAAATAATAAATGAAACAGTGCAGGGCTGTGTCTCTCCCTTCTGGGAGTGAGAGTCTCTGGCTTTGATTAGACTCTCAAAAGGATTCAGAAGCCAAAAAAACACAGCTAAGAACCCCTCACTTCAATGAAAAATACTTCTGCTTTACACACAAGATTTTAGAACTTTGTCTATGCTAATAAAAATATTTCTGTATTAACTAGAGATACATCATAGAAGAAATAAGAAAGGAAGACAAGTTTTGAGGAGGAGATGGGAGTAGGTGGTATATATTAAGAAGAAGGGAAAGTAAATTAGAAGTCAGGCAAAGCCATATTACAGAGAGTTGAAAACACACTTGAAGGGAGGAAGTGAAGTAGAAGCTGGATATAGGTGGTGTGTTGGCGGCCCCATGACCCCTGTCTCTTGGTGGTCATGCCTTTGTGTGACTCCTCTTCTGGAGTATGAGCAGAATCTGTGACTTGCTTCTAACCAAGAGAATATGGCAAAGGTGATGGGATGCCACCCTTGTGATTTTTTCAATCTTATATAAGACTCTATCTTGCTGGCAGATTTGCTCTCCTTGATGGCCTGATGAATTAAGAGGCCATATTGAGAAAGCCCACGTGGCAAAGAGCTGTGGGTGGCCTCCAGGACTGCAGGCGGTCTCTAGGAACTATAGGTGGCCACT